AAAAAAAAAAATCCGCTTTAACCCGACCGATTACCTGAAGAAATAATAATAATAATAATTACAGCTTTGCTGAAAAGCAAAAACGAGGCCTCCGGAAATTCTCTCCAATTAGCTCCGCGATTCCCAGCAAATTAAAATCCAGCCCTGGGAAAGGTTAAAACCCCTTGGAAGAGTTTTCAAGCTTCGGGTGGGAGGGCTGCCTCGAACCCACCCCAGCCCGCATGTCTGGGTCCCTCAAAAACGGCACGGTTTCACCACAGGGAATGCTTCCTGAAAAGTTTCTCGCCGCAAATTTGATTGAAGCGGGGCATCGGAAACGAGCAAAAAAGAAAGACATCGCGTGAAAACACTTATTAGTCGTGACAATTCCAAAGAAAAGTTTTTGAGTTTTGGTTTTAATTTTTTAATTTTTTATTTTTCCAGGCTCGCTGCAACCCCTGTGGAAATTCGTCCCGGCCTCCAAGAAAGAGGACAACGAATGCTTGACACATTCCCACTTGTGTAAGCGAACGGTGGGGGCAGGCGGAGAAAGCGGCGTTTGCTGATTTATTTACTTTGAATTTGACGGGGCTGGAGGTGGGTGTGTGTGTGTGGAAATGGGGATTGGGGGGGAAGAGAAACGGCATCCTTCATCCCGGATGGAAAGATGATCAAGGAAAGCCTCGGTAGTCCAATAACAATACAACCTGGCAAGGAGAAAGGCCTCGGTGTCCGCGGGATGCTTTTCCAGCCTCTTTGGGGGCTACTCGGGGCTAGGAAATTTTTGCTGAAGGGGGAGGTTTGAGGGCATGCCGTTAATTTTCCCCCAAAGGCAACGGGAAGCCAAGATGAGGCCATTCAGCCCGCTCTGGAGCCCCGGGCAGCCTCAAGGTCTCCTGAAGGAAGGAGGAGGAAAAACTGCAGGGAAAAACCCAGAAACTCTTCTTGGTGCTAACTCGAGGCAGACAACACGCGCCGCGGTCTTGCTTTCTCCTAATTTCCCCCACAACAACCCTGCGAGGCAGGTTGGGATGAAAGAGAGAGAGGGAGGGGGAGGAGGAGAGAGGGGGAGGGAAGAAGGGAGGGAGAGGGAGAGGGAGGGAGGAGAGAGAGAAGAGGGGAGGGAAAGGAAGAGGGAGGGGAGAGAGCGAGAGAGGAGGGAGAGGGAGGGGGAGGGAGAGAAGAGAGGAGGAGGGGAAAAGAGGGGGAGGGAAGGAGGGAGGGAGAATGAGGAGGGAAGGAGGGAAAGGGAGAGGGAGGGAGGAGAGAGAAGAAAGAGGGAGAGAGGGGGGAAGAAGCGGGTGAAAGAGAGGACGGAGAGGGAGGGGGAGGGAGAGAAAAGAGGGGGAGGGGAGGAGGGAGGGAGAGGGAGAATGAGGAGGGAGGGAAAGGGGGAGGGAGAGAAGAAAGGAGGGAGAGGGAGAGACTGGCGCAAAGTCATCCAGTTGGCACTCATGCCTAGAGTGAGTAGAATTCACCGTCTCTGGCTGGTTGGCTCAAAGTTACCCACCTGGCTTTCGTCCCTAAAGTAGGACTAGAACTCAGGGGTGGCCCAAAGCCACCCCTAAAAACCAAGACTAAGGCGGGACTAGAACTCACCGTCTCCTGGTGATTGGGCCAAAGTCACCTAGCCGGCTTTTCATCGCTAAGCCGGGACCAGAACTCACATCTTAGAGCTTCTAGCCTGGTGCCCTACCCACTAGACCAAACTGCTTAGGAATATTTACCAATGCCTAGGAACAGAGCACGCACAAGCGGGCGCCTGCACAACATTGGATTTGTGTGAGGGAAAACCTGGGGACAAGGAGGCCGTCATCAACGCCTGAGGATTAAGATGACCCCATCGTGACCGTTGGAGAAGTCAACAGGGACTGTTGGATTTGTTCTTATTTTGGGGTTTTCAAAAAAAAAAAAAGGCAAGTGGTTGGCCTCTGCAAGCATGCTGGACCACAGAGGCCTTGAAGAGGATCCAACTCCGCTCCCACGTTCAAAACCGCTCCCAAGATTTGTTAGCTACTTCTCCTTCCATGATCAGTCAAGGCCTAGAGTAGGAGGTTGTGTAACCTATATGTTACGGGTGACGTGATAGCAGGCTTGCAATATCGCCAATCGGTAGGCCGGAAACCACTGGTGGCCCGCAAGAAAGTTTTGGTGGTCCTCAAAGAAATGTTTCCCCTCACCCCAAAAAAGCGATTAATCCAGGCTGTGTGGGAACACAAGGCTGCGCCACCCACATGGCCCACCCGCCCGCTGGCTCCCACCTTTCGGCCGAGCACAGACCTTACCTTGAGTAGAGCCACGCGAGCTGGAACTAGAAGGTGAGACCAATTATAAGGGAGGGAAATCCGCCCCAGGGTGGCTTGCGGACGTTGGTAGGAAAGTCGGTCCCGTATTCCAGAGCTGCAGGAGTCACAGGACTGGCGCTTTGGTCATCCCAGAGAAGCTCCTCCAGTCCATGGCAGGCCGGTGCACCCGGGTGGAGGAGCAGCTGCTCCGCGATGTCCAAAAGTCCAGTTCTGTGACTCCTGCAGCTCTGGAACATGTGACTGACTTTCCCACCGAGGTCAGCAAGCCACCGTCAGTCAAAATTCATATTTAGGGATCTGTGGGATTTAAAATTATGAGTTTGGTGGTCCCTGAGGTCCAAAAGGTTGGCGAATCCTGACCTAAGGGGCTGCCCCAAAGAAGAGGGGGGGGGGTCAACCTATTCTCCACGGGACCAGAAGGCAGGACAAGAAGCAACGGATGGAAATGAATCAAGGATAGCAACCAGGGTGATATGCTATCGGTTCAGACCGGTTCGGCTGATCCGGTAGTAAATAAAACCTCCTACGATATAGCTGAGAGGAGCGGGAAAAAAAGACTCAATCGGCTGAGAGGAGAAAGAGGAGAAAAATGCAAAATTGGCCCTCCAACCTGCCCCTTGCGCTTTTCTCTTCTTTATCCTCCCAGCCGATTGGCGCGGCAGGCCTCAGCTGCGTGTGTGGAAAGCTGCGTGTGCGCGATAGGTGTGTGCACGATCACCGAACCGCTAAGAACAGGTAGGATTCCACTGCTGGGATGGAATCCCTTAAAAAATAAAGAGAAATTTCCTGCTTGTGAGAATAATTAACCAGTGGAACTCCTAGCCACCAGAAGTTGTGGGCACTTCATCACTGGAGGCTTTTAAGAAGAGATTGGGCAGCCATTTGTATAGGATTCCTGCCTGAGCAGGGAGGGGGTTAGACTAGAAGACCTCCCAGGTCCCTTACAACTCTGTTATTCTGTTTTTAAGGAATATTCACTGGCGTTCGTTTTCTTTTCTTTTACCTAAAATCCAGCTCCAAAACTTTATTTCAAGACAAAGACGGTTCATCGGTGATTCTGGTTCCCAGATGTAGTGATAAAGACGGATTTCCTGTCGCTACCCTGAGGCTGAAGACTTTCAAAAGACGCTTCCAAAAAATAAAATAAAAAATGAATCGACACTTCCCAGAGCTGGGAAGCGTAAGAATTTTGAAACACACCCTCCTCCTACCTGGAAATGTAAAATGATTTCCCAATTGGGAAAAAAAAAACAAAAAAAACTGAGGTCACCTTGTCCAGAAAACCTGCAGCCTGGAGATTGCAACATGGAGGCTTCCACATGCCAAAGTTGAGAAATACGGGCTTACAGGTTGACGCGATTGAAATCCTGGAAAACAGATCGCCGTTTGATCTGCAAAGTTTCCGAGCAGGACAGCGGCCGGGAAAGTAAAGGCACTCGTGCCTCTTGGATAGACTATAGTGGACGACAGAAGGAATCGATCGGACCTCCAGCCCTTGCTTAGCGATAGAAACCGAGTGGAGCAAACGGCCAGTTTTAAGTTTCTAGTAGTTACCCTAATAGAGGATATGACCTTGGGGCGCTCACATTGCAGCACTGATCAAAACGTCCCAGCGGCGGTTGTACTACCTTGTTCCCCCCCAAAAATACAACCTACCCTGAAAATAAGTCCTAGCTTGATTTTTACAGGTGTGCCCAATATAAGCCCTAATTAAGATCCTGCCAACTCCAGAGTGGACGGGTAAAAATTAAGCTAGGGTGAGGATGACGGGGTTGGAGCTGCTCTATTGCTTAACTTTGGACCGTTGTAGCCAGGGATCGCACACCCTGCCTTGCCGGTCCATTTCTTCTGCAGCCAGCAAGGCTGGAAAGGCTGTCCTGAAGGCCTCTATTATTGGCTGCAGAGGCCTTCAGAAAAGCCTTGCCGGCCACAGAAGAAGAAGTTCCTGAAGGCCTCTGACAGCGAAAAGGAGGCCGTGGGTGACGCACGCAAGTGAGGTTAGTCAGTGGATGACATCCCCCGAAAATAAGACCTGGTGCTTTTTTTTTTGAGGCAAAAATACATAAGACAGGGTCTTATTTTCAGGGAAACATAGTACCTGAGGCTTCTCAGGAAACAACAACTGAATGAAAAACTGCTGGAGACCTACCACTGCACCATAGAGTATTTTAACTTACCGCGCCTGGTTTGCCAATTGCACAGGGGCAGATAGGACAGCGCTCCAGAGGGTTAACGTCATTGCCGAGAGGATCATGGGTTGCCCTCTCCCCTCTTTGGAAGAGCTTTATAGCTCCCGCTGCCTTAAGAAAAGTTCAAAACATCCTCCAAGATCCACCTCATCCTGGGAAGCCTTTTTTTTAGAACTATTACCACCTGGCAGGCGGTACAGGATAATAATAAAAACCAGGACAAATAGGCTGAAAAACAGCTTCTATTCCAGGGCAGGAACTCTATTGAATTCTGCTATCTAGTGCAGTGTTGGTGTGATGTTGGGAGTTTATCAATTAAATGTGTATAGAATGTGAAGGATGTGTGAGCATGTTTTATTTATTTTTTTATAGTTGTCACGCACACCGAAGATGGCATTTCATTTTGTCGCACGAGCTGCAATGACAATAAAGTAAAGGAACTAGATGGAATTCTAAAAGGAGCAAAGGGGGGAAGAATGAAAAAAAAAAAAAACCAGGTGCCAGGTGCGAAACCCGAGATCCTCACCTTTAACACCAGCCCCCAAGGACAGCTGATGCTTCAGATCGCTTGCGTGCTCCGGTTGGCTTCTCTCATTCCACTGAGCCTCCGTCGGGGCACAGGGGCCGCTGGCACCCCCTTGGCCCGGATTGGGGACGACCGAAGCGCCTGGTGAAGGTGAAGGATCCTCTGAGCTTACAGAAGCTTCCGTTTCTTGCTCGCAAGCGTCCGGTTTGTTTACCTGGAGAGCAAGAAAAGGGAAATGTGGCATTGGGGCGGAGAAATGGTGAACTTGGACCTCTGCCGGTTGGGAACAAAACCTGAGAGCCTGGATGTTCACCACAAGGAATGAAGAGAGGTTTAGGGGCCTTGGTTCTTTCGTTCCTTCCATTCAGCTGTTGGAAGTTTTCTTGTTCGGGAAG